AAATAGGTGACAAATTTATATAAATGATTTGGATGAGAACATAGGAGGTAAGCTTGCCAATGACACCAAAATTGGTGGTATAGTGGACAGTGAACAAAGTTATGTAAGAATACAACGGGATCTTAATCAACTGGGCCAATAGGCAAGGTGTTGCATTTTGGTAAGGCAAACCAGAGGAGGACTTGTATACTTAAAGGGTAGGGCGCTGGGGTGTGCTGTCAAACAGACAGGCCTAGGGGAGCAGTTACATAGCTCCTTGAAAATGGCGTCACAGGTAGACAGGCTAATGAAGGCGGTGTTTGGTGAGCTTGCCTTCATTGGTCAAGAGGATTAAGTACAGGAATTGGGACAATTCCATGTTTGGAGTATGGTGTACAATTCTGGTCACCCTTCTACAGGAAGAATGTCATTAAACTGGAAAGGGTGCAAAAAAATTTACAAGGATGTTACTGAGACTGCAGGATTTGAATTACTAGTTAAGGCTGGATAGGCTGGGACCTTTTTTTCCCTGGAGGACAGGAGGTGGAGGGGTAACCTTATAGAGATTTATACAATCATGAGGGGCATAGTTAAGGTGAATACCAAGGTCTTTTCCCCAGGATAGGGGAGTCCAAAACTAGAGGGCATAGATTTAAAGGTAGGGTGGATTTAAAAGGGACCTGAAAGGTAAGTACAATTGCAACATTTAAAAGAAATTTGGAAAGGTATATGTATAGGAAAGGTTTAGAGGGATATGGGCCAAACATAGGCAAATGGAACTAGTTCAGTTTAGGAAACCTGGTCAGCATGATGAGTTGGACTGAAGGGTCTATTTCTGTGCTGTATGTCTGTTTAGACATGGGTGAGAGTTTCAGTTAGGCTGAAGCAAGGGTAAGATTACTTAGATGGAGTGTACCCCAACAATCATTGCATACAGTTCCTCAATTTTTAAGAGGAGGAAATGGTGGCTTGTACATTACACAACCTCTCCTAATGCAATGCTGCAACTTCAAGCGTAAAGGCAGACACACTTTGTGAACTCAGCTGGCTGGGCAGCTGGTTTGCAATGCAGAGTGATGCCAACAGTGTGGGTTTAATTCCCTCACTGGCCAAGATTACAATGAAGAAGTGACCTTTTCAACCTCTCCCCTCACGCGAGGAAAGGTGACCCTCAGATTAAACCAATACCAGTTGTTCTCTCTAACGAGGCAGCAGACCTATGGTCTGGTAAGACTATGGCACCTTTGCTTTTACTGTAAACTCAAACGCTGTTGGTACAAAGTAAATGGGCTTCTGGCATTTATTTGCCAATGAGATTTTCAACGTCCAGTGAAAATAGTCAAAAGTCAGCATCTAAATATTGAATTTCACCAGATGCATATGTGAATTAATATTTAATGCTAAAGACCCATTCTGCAGTAACACTGCTCCAGAATCAATACTTAGTGATTTTTTTTTATTTTAAAAAATGAATTTCAGAAGAAGAGGAGCAATTATGAGAAATGAAAGACTTTGCTCAACCTTATGTTTGAATTTCCACCCAAATCATCTTTATAGAAGAATAACAATCATAGCTTTCTACTAGAGTACAGGTTTCAGTTTCAATAGAAAATTGCTATGAACTTCAAATATCAATTTCCAAAAGACCACAAAAGCTTTTACTTCCATGAAGAGAAGAAAAAAAACTACCACTTACACCACAGCAGCACAATTGCGGTTCTCATGAGCAAGACTAACAAAAGATTAAAAAATAAATGAACAAATAGCTTTCTTTAACTCGATGTAACCAAAGGATGTTATTATTTGGATTGGATCGAGATTTTGCCGTAAATATAGGGTTCCTCCGCGTTCTTCCTTATTTTCACCATCAATTTTAAAGAATGTTTAAAAGGACTTGCCCTTAATTTGTTCACATGACAACCTGTATGAATTTAACAATTCAAATCAAAAATAAGTTACAGGGTGGTTTAGACAAAATAGGTCAATAGTCATTTTGTGGCACAGATATAACATTAAATACCTGGAGTTAGGAAACTCTGATGTATTTATGCCACCTGCGAGTAGAATTCAAACCTAAGACATACCTGGGAATAACTGTCAGTTATCTGTTACAGTACAATATTAGTTGGTTATAGGGAGAGCAAATAGGGTTTTAAGTTGTACTGCTAGAAGCAGCATGGAAAATAAGCATTGTGCGCAATTAGAATTTTTACATTTTTAATATTAAAAAAATCCCAAATACTTTCATACAACTGCAAGTTGAATCACAACGTCTAACTTGGATAGCCACATATGATGAAAAGTGTCAAGTGTGAAAAGATACACCAAAGAACGAGTACTGTCACAACCAACTTCGAACTCTTACTAATAAGGTTAAGTGTACAAATTTAGATCTAGTATTATTTACTTTGAAGAAACACAGTTGGAAAATTCTGATTGACATTTTAAAATTGATACGGGATTGCAAAGGCAGGTTATGTGAGATTAATAGGAATGAAAAAGTTAGCTTAGATATATTCAAGAGGCTAAATCACCTATGACTATTACTGCTGTCCTTTTGCAACTAGTCACTCCTAGAATCATAGAATCCTTATAGTGTGGAAGCAGGCCATTCCGCACTTCGAGTCTACAGTGACCCTCTAAAGGGCAATCCGCCCAGACCCACCTCCCAAACCTATGCCTGTAACCCTGTACTTCTCACAGCTAATCCACCTAGTCTGCTCATTCCTGGACACTATGGGCAATTTCGAATGGGGAGGGGGGGGCCCAGTGGTATTATCGCCGTATTGTTAATCCAGAGACCCAGATAATGTTCTTGGGACCTGGGTTCAAATCCCGCCACGGCAGATGGTGGAATTTGAATTCAATAAATATCTGGAATTAAGAGGCTAATGATGACCGTGAATCCGTTGTCAATTGTTGGAAAAACCCACCTGGTTCACTATCGTCCTTTAGGGAAGGAAACTGCCATCCTTCCATGGTCTGGCCTACATTTGACTCCAGACCCACAGCAATGTGATTGACTCTTAACTGCTCTCTAGGCAATTAGGGACGGGCAATAAATGCTGCCTGGCCAGTGATACCATCATCTCCTTAAATGAACTTTATTATTTTTTTAAAAAATCCGGGAACTACAGCACCTGGAGGAAACCCCTACAGACACAGGGACAATGCGCAAACTCCACAAAGATAGCCACTCGAGGCTGGATTCAAACCCAGGTTCCTGGCACCGTGAGGTAGCAGTGTTAACCACAGAGTGGCTTGGTTGCTCATCAAAATAATCTGCCAAATATGCACTATGATCATTTAAAGGGACTGTGATACATTCTTGAGTAAAGAAGGCACTTCTAGTTAAAAATAAATCACTGTGACATTGAGTTACTGGTGAACAGTCTTTATTGCCATATTGAGGGAAAGAGGAATTTTCTTTTGCTTTTCTTAAATTCAATGCATATTTTGTCATTTGGTTTGGATTATCGATGGCATTTTTCATGGATGGGGGAATGGTGCATAAAGTTGCAGTGTGGTTTGAATGGAGCAGTTTCAAAAATGTCTTATCACACTTTCATAGAATCAGAGACAAAACTACTGTTTTGAACCTATTTTGCCCCTCAGGTCCATTCCAGCTTTCTGTAAATCAATTTATTCATGTTCTTTTCCCACGATACCCTTGCATATTTATTTCCCTTAAGTGCCCACCTGATTTCCTTTGGAAATCACAGATAACCTCCACCTTCAGCACTCCAGTAAATAGCAAGGTGCAGGTCATTACCACTCAATGCATAAAAAAGGTTTTTCCTCACATCCACACTGCATCAATAGCCCAAAACCTTAAATCTGTGTCCCTTGGATCTGACACCATGTAACTTACCTTTGTCTACCACATCTAAAGCTTTCATAACCTTGTGCACCCCTTATCAAATTTCCCTTAAATCTCCTTTCCTCCAAGGAAAACAAACCCAGCTTTGAAACAAACTTTGCAGCAAATATCTCTCATTCCTGGAATCATTCTGGTAAATCTCATCCATCATTTCGAGGACCCTTTCTTTCCAAATGTGTGACAACCAGAATTGGCATAATATATCAGTGGTCTAACAAGAGATTTGCAAAGGTTCAGCATAACTTCCCTGCTTTCAACCTCAAGACTTCCACAAAGTCCAAGATCTTGCTACACTTTGCTACTCTCTCAAAATGTCCTGCCATCTTAAAATCTTTATGCACATGAACTCCCAGATCTCTTTGTCCTTGCAAAACCTTAAGCTCTGTCATCAAGTCATTTGTCTCTCCCTAATTCAGTTGCCAAAATACACTTCTATGTATTAACTTTCATTGGTGATTTGTCTGTCCATTCTACTTGCCTGCCCATGTCCAATTGCAGTCAAATGGCATCAACCTCATGGTTTGCCATACTTCCACATTTGGCACAAACTGCAAATTTTGAAAACTTATTCCGTATCTCAACATCCAAGTCATTTGTATATATAGCAAAACAATAACACAAATCAAGGCAATTGCTTCTAAAAGATGTCATTTTCAGGTGCAAAATATCACATCAAACAATCCTTCAACTCATCATGAACAATAAATTCACCTTCCTCACCTTTATTCATCACAAACAACAATAACCCCACAATCTAAGTGAAGTGATACTTCAGGGCCAAATTGACTATTTCCCACTCAAGCCATTCAGTCAACCTTCCTGAGGAACAATCCCAATGGATGCAAATTGTGGCTAGTTCTATATAGTGGTATTACCTCCTTGAGCATGGCAATTGCAAGTTTCATTTTGTTTCATAAGCACAAATTTTAAGTTGGCAAATTTAAGTTTCTTTTATTCACTCATGGGACATGCTAACTGGGCCAGCATTTATTGCCTGTACTTAGGTTATCCTTGAGAATTAAATCCACATCTCAAATGCTGAAAATGGCAAGACTAAAATCCACTGCATCACCCAACTGTGAAAATGACACAGTAATTAATTTAATTTGTTTTAAAAAGTTAATAAAGAGGAAATACTTACAGGTCTAACATCACCACAGGAATTTGTGAATTGTCGTGCCAAACCAAAGTCCAGCATAAAACACTTTCTACAAGTGCTAGGAAAGCGGCCCATTGCAAAGTTTGACTGAAAATTAAAGAAAAGTTTTTTTGTTTTATTACAATCCATTCAACTGACCCCATCTCATAATTAGAAAGAGACACACTTTTACAATGCCTTCATGACCTCAGCATGTCCAAAAAGTATTTAAGTCAAGTAAATACTTCTGAAGTACTGCAGTTTGTGTATAACAAACCCCCACAAACAGCAATGAGATGAATCATTAAACTAACTGGATGTAGGCAATGCTAGTTAAAAACAAATTTACTACAATATTTATAGATTAACAGCAGGGAGTAAATTAAACAGCTAGTGCTCAAGAGAGCACTCTTCATGGAGAGGGAAGCAGCCAAAGACAACTTCTAGTAGTTTTTAAAAAGGGTTAATGGCCAGCAGAGCCACAAATTTAAATCTCCAACACAATCCAGAAGCAGTAAAGATTTATTTTTGAAGAAAGTATACTTTATTCATAAATCATCAATAAATACATTACAAAAACAATTCAATTTGGACATGACAGGATAAACAATAAAAATATCACATTCCTCATGTGCACAGTGCACTCTTCTTACATGCCTCCATCCAAATGGAAATCAGTACATTTACTAAAATATGACCAGAAACTATTTAATTCCAATACAAGCTACAAGGAAATCTATAAGTTAATAGATACCCAGTATATTATAGCAGAACGGCTTTAGATGGCAGCCTTTCCCCACTGTATCTTGGTAGTGGCTGCCCCAAGCTTTTGCCCTAGCACATAGTCCTGGAGCATGGAATATGGCAGTTTGCAACTCTTGGCTTGGGAGCAACTCTTTGCACTGGAAGATAAACACATTTCAGGCAGACTAAAGAACAGCTTTTAATGAACTGATGGTCCTCCAGGTGCAATTGATGTTTGTCTTGGTGGTCGTCTCAGGGAACAGCCTGTAGAACATAGAGCCCCCTGGTGTCACAGAACTGCTCAGGACAAACCTTGACAAAGACTATTGCGTTTCTCACCAGACCTCCTTTGCAAAGACATTTTCCAGAAGAAGATGCGTGAATTTATTTTAAATTGTAAAAATATCCTTTATTTGCAAACAGTATCAATAAGTACATACAAAAAGTCCTAAAACAGTTCTGTACAGTCTTTGCAGAGAAAAATAAACACTGGAATGTGGCATTCCTCAAATCTTCTGCGCAGTTGCAAATCAAATAAATTTTCTACTCATGCAGGAAACTATTTACATTTATTTTGAGGCAACAAAAAGTTGACAACTGAATGGACGCTTGTTATACTCAGGCAGAAAGACCAGAGGTCACCGGTTTTATTCCAGTGGGCCTGAGGGCAGCTGCCCCAAGCTTTAGCTGTTCCCTTAGCATGTAGACCTGGACCTTGGAATTTGAAACACAGAGTCGAGGTCAACTCTTTACACTAGAAGACCAACAAGTTTCAGACAAACCAAAGACCGTCAATGGTGCAGTCAATGTTCGTCTTAGCGTGGCCCCAAGGGAACAACTCGTAGAGTACGGAATCATGCGTCACGGAGCTACTCTGGACAAACCACAGCATCTCTCTCCAGACCTTCTTTGCAAAGGCATATTCCAGGAGATGTATGATAGTCTCTACACCAGCACAACCACTTCAAGGACAATAAGCGGTTGTGCGCAAAGACCAGGCTTGCGTGAAGGGTCTGACAGGCAGTGCCCTTTACATCAGCAACCAAGCTGCATCTTGGTGCATATTGGCAAATTTTGGTGATGTTGCATTCTGCCAAATTACTTTGGCAGTCTGCTCGGGAAACCACTTGACAGGATCAACCCTTTCCTTTCCCTGCAGGGTCTGGAAGACACTGCATCCTTCCTGATGAACTGCTCATCACAGATGTCCTCCTTTGCAACTTCTTCCACAAGGGACAGGTAATATGGAATAGTCCAGTTCCTTGGAGCATTGCTCAGCACTGAAACTAGACCTAATTTTTGCAACATCAGGAACAGGTAGAACTCAGTACGTACTGGCAATTCGACAGCGCTGGCTCGTTGGTCTAGAGTATGATTCTTGCTTCAAGTAAATGAAGGGAGTGTGAGAGGTCCTGGGTTCAAATACCCGATGAGTCCTTGCCACCTTTGACTCTGTCCTTTATTCACTGTTCATTTAGTTTTTGAAGAAGTAACAAAGAGAATTGGTGAAGGTAGAACAGTAGACTTCGTCTATATGGCCTTCAGTAAGGTGTTCAACAAGGTTCCGCATGGTAGACTGGTTAGCAAGGTTAAATCACAGAATACAGGGAGAACTAGCCATTTGGCTGTAAAATTGCTTGAAGGTAGGAGAGAGAGGGTAGTGGTGAAGAGTTGCTTCACAGTCTGAACGCCTGAGACCAGCAATGTGCCGCAAGGATAGGTGTTGGGTTCACTGCTTTCTGTCATTTATAGAAATGACTTGGATGTGAATATAGGAGATATGGGTAGTAAATTTGAAGATGACACAAAATTGATGGTGTAGTGGACAGTGAAGGAGATTACCTCAGTGTACCATGTGACGATCATCAACTGGGCCAATAGACCGAGGAGTGGCAGATGGAATTTAATCTAGATAAATGTGAGGTGATACATTTTGGTAGACTAATCAGGGCAGGACTTATACACTTCATGGTAAAGACCTGGGGAGTGTTGCCAAACAAAGACACCTTGGAATGCAGCTTCATAGTTCCTTCAAAGTGCAATCAGAGGTAGGCTAGGTAGTGAAGGCGGCACTTGGTATGCTTGCCATCATTGGACAGTTCACTGGGTACTGGAGTTAGGAGGTTATACTGCGGCTGTATAGTACATTGGTGAGGTCACTTTTGGAATACTGCACTCAGGTCTGGTCTCCCTGCTACAGGAAAGATGTTGTTAAACTTGAAAGGGTTCAGAAAAGATTGACAAGGATGTTGCCAGGGTGGGAGGGTTTGAGCTATAGAGAGCTAAACGTCTTTTTAACCACCTTGTCTATGACACAAGCTTCAAAGAATTACGTAACTGCACCCCGAGATCACCCTGTTCTACAACACTGCCTAAGGGTATACAATTAATGGTAGAGCCTTATTTGTTATACCAAAATACAAATACCTCACATTTATCCAGATTGAACTGCATCTGCCATTTTTCAGCCCATTTTCCCATTTGATCAAGATCCCTTTGTAAATCTTAGAAAACCTTAGATTGGAGGTTGGTGCAATTATAACATTTAAAAGGTATCTAGATGGGTATATGAATAGGAAGGATTTACAGGGATATGGGCCAAATGATGGCAAACATTTAGATTAATTTAGGATATCTGGTCGACATGGACAAGTTAGACTGAAGGGTCTTGTTTCCATGCTGAACGTCTCTGGAACTCTATGACTTGATGTTCGTGTACAGGGGGTCACACACAGCTTAATACAGCTAAACACCCTCCAGAAGGAGATGCAGCTAAACACCCTCCAGAAGGAGATGCATGAATGCTGTGTCTGCTGATACTGATGGGTTGAAAGATGCTGTAAATTAAATCTCCCCTGGTCACTGCCTTGCAAATACAACAATTTTACTTTAGTGGTTACTGTCAACTTCACAGAGCCGTAAAGCTGGGAGTGGCAGCCCAAGCACTCCACTAGCCTCAAATGACATAAAAACTAAAAGGCATGGACTTGTTAAACACTATGAATGTGAGAACTTCATTGTAATACTGATTTGGACACAGAATTCCAGAGCACATGGGTGCAGTGACTATTATTTGGCTCATCGAAGATCAATGGAAAAGGGAAATATGAGACTGATTTACAAACAAAATTTGAAGATCAAAAATCACAAAATGCATACATCCACTCAATTCTGTGCCCGGGGGCACAGACAGCTTTCATTGGGTAAATGAAAGAAAAACAGATTACTTGGTCACCATCATCATTGTCACCAATTGTAGTTTATGGAAACTTGTTGTTGCATTCCCTACAATAGTGACTATATAGCAAAATTTTCACCTGAATGACTGTAAAGGACTTCGAAACTTCCTCATATCATGAAAGGCATGATACAAGAGGAAGTCTTACTTTACTGTGAAAGCATTCCAACAGTCTGCTCATGATGTTACACAATTTGATGAGGGTTTAAGGAATTAGGCCAACCTAATTAGTGCCTGAATATCTAATTGCACCTGGACAAACTTTAAAAAGTAACATATTAAAGAATGCAGCTGCAACTGTCCTGAGAATTACTTACAGGTTTGATGTCTCTGTGAAGGAAGCCCACAGTGTGAATACTTTCTACTGCTTCAAGGATCTGTTTTCCCAGTCGCAAAGTAGTGCTGATGCTAAAGGTACCTCGAGACTGGCTGCGACGTAGATCAGCAAGGTTTCGACCCTGAGCAGAAAGGAGAAATTCTCTTAGTTCTAAAAGAACAGTGATAAATAATATTTCTATTTGTGATATGGGCTCTATGTAGATGTGCTTTTTTTTAGAAATTTCCCAGCATAATAGTCATTTCTTACACAACAATAAAAAAAAATCAAGTAGGTCAATATTTCCAATTACCATCTATTGCCATTTCAGTCATCCTTTTTTCTCTTAATATCCAGACCTGATGCTTTCCTCTTGCCTATTAGTTATCTGAAAATAGGCTTCAAGTTCTCATTCAGATTTATGAATTTTAAAAAAGTCTTGATTTTTCAGGCAAAGTAAATGGGTAATGCAAGCAAATTCATTTCAGGGTTAAACAATCTCAACTCCAGTGGCAGTAGACAGCCTGCAATTGACCTCAGTTTGGCAGGAAATTTGAGGACTCGCTGCTTAATGTACAAGAGTAAGGTGTTCAGCGAAGATGGAGAAGGAGAAAAAAAAAAAGAGGTAGATTAACAGTACTGATTAGGGAAAACATTGTAGAGTTAAAAAGACCGATGTTCTGGAGACACAAGAATCCACTTGATTAGAGGTTAGAAGCAAAAAGGCAAGATCAGACGATTTGGAATATTTTTTGGGCCACAAGAGGAAGATTAAGGAATAAATCAGCAGAGAAACCAAGAGTTGTGTGTGAACTATAGAGTGGTAACATGGGGAGACTTTATTTAGACTTTAGATTTGGTTAGTTAACAAAAGGACAAGGGAAAGGGATTTCTAAACTGTGTTTGATCAACATGCTCTCAGTCAAACTAGAAAGCACGCGGTGCAAAACCTGATGCTGCAGAATGAGGTCGACCAAGTAGACTGAGTGACTGTGGCTGAACATTTGGGTAAGAAGCAGAAACCAAAATTGCTGGTAAAACTCAGCAGGTCTGGTAACATCTGTGGATAGAAAGCAGAGTTAACATTTCAAGTTTGATGACCCTTCATCAGAATGGGCAAGAGTGATCAGTGTATCACGAAGTTTGGCTTTGTGATGGAGATGAGCAAGAAGCAATCTAATATTGAATTTTACATTGAAAAACAAACAAACAGTCTTTAGGAAGAAGTGCTTTTAGAGAATGTAGCGACATAGTGATATTAGTTCACTTGTTGGTCATTTCAAATTTCTATAGATTTCAAAAGCCCATCTTTCATCATCTGTGGCGATCTGCCCAAAGCATGTCCATTTACTTCAGGAAGCGTCCATTTACTTCAGGACATGCTGGTTGATTGACTGATTGATTTATTGTTGTCACGTGTACCAGAATACAATGAAATGTGTTGTTTTGCATACTATATAGGCAGATCATACCATACAAGGTGCATCAGGGTAGTAGAACAAAGTGCAGAATATAGTGTTATAGCCACAGAGAAAGGTGCAGACAGACAGAGATCAGAATTAACATTTCAGAGATCCATTCAAAAGTCTAATAACAGAAGGGAAGCTGTTCTTGAATCTATTTTATATTTTCTGCCCGATGGAAGAGAGTATGACCAGGATGGGAGGGGTCTTGGGTTATGTTGGTTGCTTTCCTGAGGCAGAGAGGATACAGTCATTGGATGGAAGGCTGGTTTGTGTGATGGATTGGGCTGTGTTCATGACACTCTCTGGTTTCTTGCAATCTTGGGAAGAGCAGTCGCCACACCATGCTGTGAAGCATCCAGATGGGATGCTTTCTTGTACATCTATAAAAATAAAACTTCAGGACATGTCCATTTACTTCAATTCTCACTTCCAGCGTCAGGTCTCAGTTTGTCTTGATTGCGTCTTGGTCTTCTTCACATTCTTGATCCATGCTCCTCATTCCTTGAATTTGTTGGTTTTACAATTCCCCAACTCTTATGACTCAATCAGTGCAGGGGCACCTGTGAAAATCAAGGAAATAGCAAGAACTGCAGATGCAGCTGGAGTCAGAGTCAATACAGTGTGGAGCTGGAGGAACACAGGTCAAGCAGCGTCAGAGGAGCAGGAGCATCAGGTCCTGATGGAAGGGTTTTAACCTGAAATGTTGATTCTCTGCTTCTCTGATGCTGCTTGACTTACTGTGGTCCTCCAGCTCAACATTGTATTGACTCTGAAAATCAAAATGTTAACATTCAACCCTTCACATTACAACCTGGTAGGATTTCCTGTCTCTGACAATAGCTTCAATGTACAGATTAAATATTTTAGAGGACATATACGTCTCTGATGTACTCCACTTTTGCTTGGTAAGCTGTCTGACAAGCCATTATTAGGTCTCATGACACCGAATGATCCATCTTTAACAATTTCTATCTTCAACATTGCATTATTTTCTTATGCTAATCTCCATCCAATACCTTCTCAGGCTATAAAGCATACATAGCCAGGCATCTGCACTTTTGTAATCTTTCAATTAGCACTCTCAAAGATGTTCTCTTATTCCTTTCTTGATAGCCTGAATGGCTATCTAAATCTGCTCAGACAGACTGGTCACTGTTTTCAAAAGCAATTATTAAAATTATTTTAATAACATGGCTCAACTCTATTTTTGTCTTTTGCTCCAAGCTCTCAGCTTCCAAAGCAAAGGAACCAAAAGTCCTAAATGAACCCTGACTGCATAAAATCCTCGCACAGGGATCCTGTTTTGTAAACTATGTTGTAAAGGTCTGTCAATATCCCAATATTAACATCATTCAGGGATTTCAGGCATTCTACTGTCTCAATCTTTTTGATCACAGCACTGACCAATGCCACTACTTTCTTTGGTCCTTGTCTTCCCTCACATGGTACCAATTCACTTCCCTCTTCATTATCACCAACTCTTGGACTTATTCCACTCCTTGTTCCTCTATCCTTGTTTTTCCAAAGAGACACAGACCTTCCATGCTTTTTATATAACACTATTGTAGTTATTCTTTTATTCTCACCTTTGAACATTTTGACTTTCTTGTGCAATGTTCTCATGTTACAACCTTTCCCCAATTCTATATCCTTGTAACAGTCATCACATCATTTTCCATGGCTCCTCCATGGTTACTCTTTTCACATCTTTCAACTGTTATGTTCTTCCTTATTGTTCTTAATCTATTTTCTTTTCTCTGCAGATCAACTATTTCATCAATCATCCATTCCTGATGTTTGCTCCTCTCTTAACAGTCTCAGCTCCCGTGCGTTTCATATACTGTTTTAATTTTCCTCAATGTCTTTTTGTGTTTTCTCCTCGCTAAGATATTGTTTGGTTATTTCTTAATTGTCACTCTTGCTCATTGCCTCTACACCATGTCCAAATATTTTCCTCTTTCAGAGATAGTAAGAACTGCAGATGCTGGAGTCAGAGGTAACACAGTGTGGAGCTACAGGAACACAGCAGGCCAGGCAGCACCAGAGGAGCAGGAAAGTTTCTGAAGAAGGGTCCTGATCTGAAACATCAACTACCCTGTTCCTCTGATGCTGCCTGGCCTGCTGTGTTCCTCCAGCTCCACACTGTTATCTCATTTTCCTCCTTCAGTCTGTTTTGGTTAGCTAGGTCTTTCTTGGGATTTTTCAGCTTGATCTTCATTTTCATTACCTGTAGGTTAAAATCGATGCCAACGCTGGGCTGTTTTTGATGTATTTCTTGTACATCTCACTGATGATCAGAAAACCTATTTGCTTTATGTAAGTTGCCTGAATTCTTCAAGGTGTAGTCATTTTGGCTGTTGCTTGAAGATAATCACTTTATTTTCCTCAGAGGAAAGACACTGCCCTCTACTGTCCTTCGTTCATGATCCATAAACATCCACTACATTTCCCCATCTTTCTCTACTAACTTTTACATTCAAATCACCCACAGCTATCAAGATGTTTGCGTTCCCAGAGAGTCGGTGCTAGGGCCGGTGCATTTTTTCCAGATAGGAATGACTTAAATCTTGGAACATGAAGCAAAGTTTCAAAACTTACTGACAATACCAAATTTGGAAGAGTGACAAATAGTTAGGTTAATACAAATTGCCTGTAACAGGATGTACACAGGCCTGCAGAATAGATAGACAGATGGACTTTATTAGAGAAGTGCGGGGTGATGCTTTTTGTCAGAAAAGGTACGGAGAGGAATGTCAAATCAAGAGCACAATTCTTTAGAGCTTCTAGGTACAAAGGAACCTGGAAGTTCTGTGTATTGACTGCTGAAGGTTACATAACAAATAAAGAATGATCAGCAAAACATATGGGGCATTTGGCTTCATAAACAAAGGCTCTGGTTCAAAGACAGAAAGTAGTTATGCTAAACTAGAGTATTTTGAGCAGTTCTGGTCACCACACTTTAGATGGAGTACAGAGGAGATTTAGCAGAATGGTTCCAGAGCTAGAGGATTTTAATTACAAAGTTATGCTGGAAAGACAGATTGTTTTCCTTAGAGTAAAGGAGATAAGCATTTGATCTTTCCACTGTATAGACAATCCAACTGCTAGTTAGAAATAGGTAGTCAGCTATCTAATTTCAGCATCTGTGAGGACTGTTCAAAATACTGTTAACTGCAAAAACAAATCAGATAACTGAATTTGCTCAAAGTCATCTGCTAGTATTCCAAATGGAATTCTATACACAGCACTGACCTTTTATACATGGAGAATTTTGGTTGCAAGGATCAAAAGCAGTGACTATTGACAGTATAATTTTATCTCGAGTAATATTATTGAGGTCACTTCACTGGATCTGATTCATTTCTAGACTCCAGGTAAAAGACAATTGAGCTAGATGACCTTGTGTCATAGCAACAATATGCCTGATAATTAAATACAAACCAACATGGAATCAGAAAATTAAAGAAGTTGGAAACTCTAGATATAACATGGATTATATACACAAAGTAAAAGGACATTGGAAAACAACAAATTTTACTTCAACAACTCAAAGAAATTCTGATCGTTATAAAAGTAACTTTATCTGATAAAATACAAAGCAAATTAAGTCTTATGGATGTCTGTTGAAATATAAGATAAACATGGCACAACGAATACTTTTATTCGCATCTGAAATAAAAATAAATGGGTTAAAATGACCCAGGTGAACTAAATAAAAACCGAAAGAACTGCGGATGCTGCAAATCAGGAGCAAAAACAAAGTTGCTCAAAAAGCTCAGCAGGTCTGGCAGCATCTGAAGGAAAAAAACAGAGTTAACATTTTGGGTCTGGTATTCTAAGGAAGGGTGACCAGACCCGAAACATTAACTGTTTCTTCCTTCACAGATGCTGCTAGACCTGCTGAGCTTTTCCAGCAACTTTGTTTTTGCTCCAGGTGAACTAAAACTAGATCATTCAATAACAAAGTGAGTTTTTTTTTTTAAAAAACTGTACTTCACAATGTAGTTGGTGTTTTTATGTAAACTTACCTGTAGCTGCATAACAACATAATTGAAACGGTCATTTCTTCCACAGCCAATGAATCTACAAACATGATCCTTCCCTATTTTAAAGGGAGAAAAAAAAACCTTCATCAGCGTTCCACTTGAGAGAATAATTATTCCAGAGCTGAAATATAATGTGCACACCCTACAGGAATTTGCAATAAATTAACAAGTCCCATCCAGTAGCATTCAACTCAATTCTTCAATGAGTGCACTCTTGGGAAAATTAGTCAGTACCAGTGATTCTACACCAGACAATAAAATTGTGCAGCATAGCCCATAGGCTAATAAACATCAACTTCAAGTATGGGAGATCAGAAGCTTATTTTACAACTAATATTATGTAGTCTCCGTGGTATTAGAAAAATTTGCCATTAACCTATCACACAACTGGATGAAATTGGTAACATTTACAGAAACTTCTCCCTCATTTGTCTACCAGGTCTGCTAGATGTCAAGGACAGACAAATAGGCCAGATAAACTTTAGTTCAACACAACTTTTTTTTGTTTTGATGCCTTTACAATGCAGGGCAGGCTACTGTCTGATAACACATTGCATAACAGTTTAACAGTGACTGTCACAAAGAAATCTACATTGACACAAAAAGGTACATAATACATGCCTGGCAAGCTATTAAAGTTTCCATTTTCTTAGCAAACTCTTTAAGTGAATCAATTACATTTGAAACTTTTATCTTACGGGCTATGAAGCACAAAAGCGACACTTGATTACGGATACCTTAAATAAATTTACGGGATTTTAATATACATTATTTCAAAACTGAAATTTACATCAATTATTGACTCATCTATTCTTCATTAGTATTTTTCTAAACATGATATTTGAATATTAATAAAAGTGACAATTGGTCAGTACATAGGAGTCAGAGTAGTGAAATAAGGGGAATGTATCCTGATTGAGTGGCATTTCTCAAGAATCTGACTTGAAGCCTTTCACCATATATGTACATAACTTGAATAAAGGAATAGAGAGCTGCATATCCAAGTTTGCAAATGACACTAAATTGAGATGTGCAGTAAGTTATGGAAGCAGATAGTCATAAAGTGGGATTGACAGATTAACTGAGTGATCAAAACAGTGACAGATGGAGTTCAATGTAAGGAATGTGGCAAAGTATAAAGTCATCACTTTGGATCCAAGAATGACAAATCAGAATATTTCACATCTGGCAAGTGGCTAGAAACAATTTCCAAGACCATTTGCGTGTTCAGTTATACGAATCACTAAAATTTTAAACATAGAAAGAGGTGTTTTCATTGCTTAAAGTCCTACTGGGACCCCTTCTGGAGCAGTGCTACCATTCTGCAATTATACATTCAAGAGGAATTTGAATTATTATGTGAAAAAGAAAACTGCACAGGGCTACAGAGAGAGAACATAGGAGAGTGACTAAGTTACACCTTCAGAGAAGCCACACGGGCATGACGGGCTATTCCATGATGCTATTATACTCAGTTTTGGGCATAGCACCTCAAAGAATAGATTGGCCTTTGCTGGATTATACGAACAACGGAATGCCCCAACCAGATGGTCTACCCATGATGAATGTGAGACAGGCTTGATAGAATAGCTGGCCTTTTTTCCAGCACATCATTTTCTAATGTAAGCAAGTCAAAGTCTTTAAGAATGTGATCTACATGCATTTGTGAAATTTGTTTTGAGAAATCATGAAAAGATCAGCACTTCCTAATTATTTCAATTCAGCATTTTGAAGAATCCATTTATTTTAATTATATTCACACAAGAATTCCAACCAATTAGTTCACGATTGTTTTTTCACCAACTTGTGCAAATTTTACTAAAAGGTATAATGAACACGGTCTTTCTTGATGGACAATGTACAATAAATAACAGCATAATTTCTCAATACTTAGTGTACTTTTTTAAAACCCATATTCATTTGATTAAACCTTGCTTTTAAATTTGCCATTCTCATGAAAGCACAATCAGTATTTCTGCTGGTGACGAGTATTGCTTGATGTGGAAATATTCCGCTGATAAAACGTGCTAAATAATCAAGTTTACCTTATCTATTCAAGTAGTATAATGCAAAGCAACCATGCTTAAGTGATGCTCAGAAGTATCACACTACTTTTTGCATTGCAGGTGCTGTTTAGATTGAGTTTAAAGGGTCAAGTTATATCAACTCCAGCCATCAGCTGACCAGTGACCACAGGATATCATCTTACAATTTTCAATATTCTGCAACACTGAAGATACAAATGCAGAAACACCTCTTACTGTTACACTTTCCAACACTTCATATGGTCAATTTAGACCTTGTAGTCCTGTAGGAATAGTGCAGAGATTGGAGGTAAAATACATATTTGAGAAGTTCTGATTTAGCATCTCTCGAAGACAAGAGGGTGTGGTCTCCTTGAAATCCTGGTGTTGCTTTCATTTATTTCAAACTAACAGAACAGTACTTGGAGAGCTGTGCTGATTATTTATTTCCCGTTAAAAGACCACCAGAAGCAACTCGAAAGGCCAACTTGAACTATAGACAATATTGAAATATTACTTAATCAGATTCTGAAAAACAACAAGAACAGAAATTTCTGGAAAATCTCAGCAGGTCTGGCAATTTCTGTGGAGAGAAAGCAGAATTAACATTTCAGGTCCAGTGACCCTTCTTGTTCTGAATTCCAGCATCTGCAGTTCTCGGTTCTTTTACTTTTTAAAAAAAAAAGTACCTTTCCATACCGTCAGTCAACACTAAGGGATACTTTTTCCATCTGAGGTTAAATGAAACACTCCAAACAGAAATGAAGGCTGACGGATTCATCAAGTCCCACTTACCCATCACCATTATGCTGGTTGACCTGCATTGCCTCCAGCTAAGCAATATTTCACTCTTAAAATTCTCATCATTTTCAAAATCCTCTCCCAATCTCTAAACTCCTACAACACGACAAACCTCAAAATGTATGCTCATGTGAACATCCTTAGTTTTAATTATTCCCTTCACCTTTAAGGCTAGGTCTTCAGCTGCTTACAATCAAAACTTTGAAATTCCTTCCCCAAACCTCATTGCTCCCAACACCACCAAAGAAGAATGCAGCATTGCAAGCAGGTAACTTGCTAGCACATTCTCAAAGACAATCAGGGATGAGTAATAATCCTGGCTTTATCAGCATGGCCACATCCCATAAACAAAACAAACCTCCTTCTTTGTTTGAAGATGGCCCTTAAACACTTCACACTTTAATGCCCCATCATACAGTTGCGTCATTCTGCTTAAAACTCCATTGAAAGACCACAGAAAGTTTACCATATTAAAAAGAATCGCGTAAGTACAAAGAGCTGTTGTTATTAAATTGTAACATTATTTAGAACAAAGCCTGGGTGCGTTACAAAGAAAAATCTTGGTTATCATAGAAAAGATGAAGGAAATATCATTATTTGAAAGGTCATAGAAACATTAGGCGTAGCCAGAAGTTTCTGTTTCCCACATAACAACCATAAAACTGCAGTTATATGAAAGCAAAATCCTGCAGATGGTTAGAAATCTGTAACATAAACAAAAGTGCTGGAAATACCCAGCTGATTAGCCAGCACCAAGAGGGAGAACTTGATAGCTAATGTTGCAGACCTGAAATATTAAATTTTTCTTTCTCTCCACAGATGCTGACAGGCTGTGTATTTCCAACATCTTCTGTTTGTAATTTAAGCTAATGCAGCTGCTCAGTGCAACAAAAATTAAATTCACATACATTGAGAGATTCTTTCAGGATACAATTAATAACACAAGACTTGTTCTGAAGGCCCAAAGTGGCAGGCAAGGTATGAATTTGGCACCAAACCAAGAAATTTGATTCAGTGAGTTAGAAGAATGAAGCAATGAACTGAAATTAATTGCTGGGCAGTACTAAAGTTTACTGCTGAGTTTAGTATGATTATATCAACATAACTATTCATTTACTACATGCATTACAGAACATGTTTAAAAAAGAGACCAGTATAAAATTACAAAAGTTCACTCTCAGCCTACCAGTAGTAGTTTAAACTATCATTGTTTATAAAGAATTTACAATTGTACAAACAAATGTCAATGAAAAAGTATAATGTTTTTAAGAGCAACTCAATAACTTGAAAGACAGAGTTTCAAAATGTTCTTTATTAAAAATTTTAAAGTATCTCTGCTGGTTCTTATGCTATGGAAGATTCAGCATAGAATACTTTTTCAGGTCTGAGAGGGACAAATTGTATCTTTGTTTTCAATTATAATAAAGTACTCAAGGCAGCTGCTAACTTAGCATATGTTTAAAGAAGCACAAACTAGTATTCAGTGTATCAATTACCAACAGACCAATAGGAAAGCTCTACCAATTACTACCAATCATAATAATTCGAGGTGATATAATGTCAATTAGTTAACACAATGAAATTTTTACACTGGTTCTGCTATTAACTTTAGGGAGCATCTTTCATATTAACAGTCTTTTCAAATACAAGAAAATTCTGAAAGATGCAATCTGTGCAGAGAATAAAGGTTTACTTTCCATTCTTGAATATTCACATGCTGTAAATTCAACTCCTAATGAGGCCACATCTCACAAGCATTTATCTATTCAGAATCTATCATTTCTAAAGAATTTTTCCAAATATTCAATATTCAAACCTCTTCTAGAATTTGACTGAATACTTCAGGTTCATGCAAGCTGTGCTTTCGTGCTATCTTTGGATAGGGACGGTAAGTTGGGATAATGGCACTCAAATTGACAGGATTTGACCAGTGATGTTCCACAAGGAACTGTGTTAAGGCTCGATTGTTCACATTATTTATTAACAATTTGGTTGTCTAGTCAGTGAGGACTTACAATTTATATAGATGACTTGGAGCTGGGGACCACGTGTAGGGTGTCAAAGTTTGCAGATGACACTAAGACGAGTGGCAAAGCAAAGTGTGCAGAGGACTGTGAAACTTTGCAGAGGAACATAAATACATTGAGTGAGTGGGCAAAGGTCTGGCAGATGGAATACAATGTAAATAAATGTGAAGTCATACATTTTGGTAGGAGTAATAGTAAGAAGGA